TCCCCTCAGCTGTCCTGAGTAATCTCAAAGTTTTCTTTTGCCCCAGTGGCAGAGGTGAGGAAAGTCCCAGACAATTTGCAGCATAAACACCTAGTACTGGGCTGCACTGTTTTCCTATTGGAGTCCCAGGTGTTAGCAGCCTGGGTTTTCAAGGTTATCTTTGCTGACACAAAGTACCTTTCAGTGGTTTTAGATCCCCAGATGATTGGACAGAGGATCCGGGCTCTGTTCACTATAGTCTCTGCAGGCGTATAGCATGGCAGAACAGCAGGAAATTCTCAGCTGTGGACACCATTGAGGATGGGCAGATGTGTCATGCATCAAGCTGCCCTGTGTTTCATTAGGTTGGAAAGTATGTGTTTGTACCATGCTCAAGCTAGCATTCACTTATGTAAAAAGGGTATAAAAAACTATGGTGGATGACTAAATTAAAACAAAATTACAATAAGCGACACATTGCCAAGAATTCTGGGATAAATGTGTTTGAAGTGAGGGAGGAGTATTTTCCATATTTTGAGGGGGATTAAAGGCAGTGTCTTTTACTGTCAAAGATTTTTGTCAATTCTGGCTCTTCCTCAAGCAAAAATGACCATGAAAGTGTTACACCCGGCGAAAAAGAACCAACCAGAGACCTATATTAAATCCACACAGGGGACTGGAGCCCCGACTGGGGGGAGACAAAGTTTTCAGGCCCCCCATGGGGTAGAACTAGCAAAGCAAGGGAAAGGTACAGAAGCGGAACGTCCTGCCGTTAGAACATTTTAAAAACAATAGTTGATTAATTGTTGTTTCTAAGAGACTCTCTAAGGAGAGGAGGTTTCTAAGCTTCCTCCTTCTGAGTTCATCTAAAGGGCAGGCAGGTGAGTCAAGCAACAATATGGAGTCTGTTTTGCTAACTAGGGTCCTTCAGAAAGGTCATTTTGAATTGGAATAGGAGAAGGAGGCATCCATGACTGTGCAAGTAAAAACATTTGAGAGGACTTGCAGCGCTGCTTCAGAAAGTGGCAAAAATGATGGGGTAAATGTGTGCAAAGCAAGGAGGAGTGTTTGGAGAGTTATTAGTGAATATATGTCTTTAAAAATTTAAACATTCATCACATTTTTACAATCATATCTTGTACATGCAAAAGATTTTCCAGCTAAGACAGTGAGGCCTTTGTGGGAGATTAGGTAAGGAATGAAGATGCCTGAACTAAGACTGGGTTAGTAATGACAATTATGACATTCACACAGTGTTACTGGAGGTACAATGTGTAGGGCTGAATGACGGGTAGGAGGAGGATGGGGGTGCCATCAGAGGTGAGTCTTCAGAAAGTGTGTTCATGGGACTGTTGTGATCACATTCAGTCCTGACATCCTGGCCATTCTGCTGCAGACTTGCCTCGCTGGACCCTGCTTTTTATTTTTGATATGACATACATCAGGCCTCCACTTCCTGACTCCATGGTGCATCATTTTCTTTTCCAAACTGTCCTACAGAATGCTGCCTCAGTAATCTTCCTAGAAGGCTGAGCAGGAATCTTCACTGCTTCCTACCACATTGAGTAGTTCCCAAGTTCTGTCTCCTAAAACATTATTTGTTGCTAGAGAAGATAAACTCTTTTCACAGTCTGATTTAGAAGAGCTGAGACAAATTAAATGGGAAGTAATTAACTCTTCAATGTGCTCAGGAAGGAGCACAGAATGACTACTATGTGCAGAAAAGGGAAGGAAGTGGTATCTCCTGAGGAGACCCAAGGTTGTCTAGGTGTGTGTCCTGGTGTCTTTTCCAGGGTATCTTCCATTTTTCCCCTGCACATGAGCTCTCTGGTCTGTCAAGACTGGTTTTTTTGCTGCCTGAACAAGACCCCCTTTCCCACCTGGGCCTTTGCAGATTCTCTGGTTTCTACCTCACTTGTTCCTATATTTTTCTCTTGGAATCCTACCTATCCTTCAGCCACCAGCCCAAGTTCCAGAACCCACTGAGCCCTTGCCCAGAAGAGTTTTTCCCAAGTCTAACCTTACAGAGCACTGGGCACATTTCCTGTGTGCAGCTCTTATCTAGCCTCCCATCTTATCTCTCTACTAGACAGTGTGTCATTGAGCAGATTGATAACTGAAGGCCCTAGGCCTGGGTCCAGCCTGTCAGGTGTTTTTGAATGTGCGTACTTATTTTACCATCAAATAGAATTTATTTCATGCAGAAAATATACAGAAAATTAGAACAATGACAAAATATATCTTAGGACATATGCATCACCAAGAATGAATAAATTAGTCACTATTAATTTATTACTCATTTGTTAAGAAATATTTGTATATGTGGAGCACTGGCCTACAGATTTATTGCCTGTAGCTTGTCTTTGCCTTGTTTTTCAAGTTTAGCATTAGTTTCTAATATCTAGAGATCAAAATATTTGACATAAAAACTGGCACTCCGCCACCTTACTTCCAGGTTTTGAGCAAAGCATCACCCATTGGCCACTCCACCTGGGCCCCCAGAGGCTGGCCTGTCTAGTGCACATTCAGTCTGGCACCTGGTTTGTCTACGGTCCTGAGAAAGCTCTGCTTAGCTGGTATCCAGGCTTCTCTGCCCCTCTCGGCCTTCCTACCCTCACCTACCTGATCACCCCACCCTCTCTTCTCACCACCCCTCAGGCTGTTTCCCTACCTCTCACTCCTCCACAAATGTTACGGACTCCATAAAGCTTTCACCAGTAACTTCAGCTCAGCTGCTTTCTCTGTGCTCATGTATACAGAGATGTTAGCCAGCAGTTGACCACTTAACCCATGTTTTCCTCTTTCTTCACCACAGACTGCTAAGACCCCAGGAAAAGGCCAGGGCAGGGAGACCTCAGGCTGGGGCTGCCACTGTCAGGCTGTGTGCAGGACTTCTGGATGCTTTGACCAGACAGGGCGGTCCAATGTTGACAGGGACAGGGGATTTTGCTGGGCAAATCATTCTGAGGCCTTATGCTTATTCAGTCGAGTCTACTAACCAGCACAGTTCTCCCCTGTGTTTCTCCACTCACCCCAGTCTGCCTTTTGGACATAATACCTTATCCATTTCCTGTAACCCTGGTGGGTTCAATGAAGGATTTTCTGGGATAAAAATGAGAGCTAAGTCCCTTCCCCAGACTCCACCAACTTCTTTCCTCCCTGAGCTACTGGCATAGACACATGAAATGTGTGCACATTTCATCAGGGCTTGATAGACACTGGTTCTTGTGCTGTGGTCAGCTGAGTTGCAGGTGCCAGCTTTGTGTCTCACCTGCCACTGCCAATGGCCACTGAGCCCTGGTGCCCAGTACTGACCCCTGTCCCCTTGGGGTTGCCGCCAGTGTCCAAATGTTCTTTCCCTTTCTCCCTCGGTGTGAATGCTCAACCTATCCTTAGTGATAGTCCAACTCAATTGATTTAATTATCTGTAAATTCCCAGGTGTCAAATACAAAACTACTAAATTAAAGCTTCCTTGTTTTTACTGGTGGCTAGAATAAAGTAATGAGTCCTTTTACAAGACATGATTGTCCAATGAGTTAAGCAGATTAGCAGCCTTCTATACATGAATTGCCTCAACAAAGCTAAAGCAGAAAACAGAAAATAGATTGGTTATTTAGAAGATACTTTCCTTTTAGAGCTTATGACAGAAAGGACTTTCTTGTCATTCTGGTTATAACTGACTTTCTTCACAATGTGGACATTATTTCTCTCTCCCAATTCTAAACCTTTGTTGTCAAATAAACACTTTGATTTGTGACTAAGGTGTTGAATTCCAGCAGGAGAGACATCACTTAAGTTGGTCTATTGGGGCTCATCCAGGATCTCCATCCAAATCAAAGGCTTCTAATTAATTTTATTGAACATAAGAAGGAAGACATCTTGGGTGTGATTGTTGTGAGGTTTGTGGTACAAAAGACAGAGGAGACAAAATCCAGGTGCAGAATGTGAAGCTTTCTCTGTCCACCCTCCATCTCCACATCTGATTCTTTACCTACTTCCATCTGACACTGTCCCTGGGGATCTAACAGGTCTTGTTTGACTGTTGGTTCTTTGTTTGGTTAGCTACGATGACCTCATTTAAGTCCTCAGAATCTCTTGTTTGATCTCTTATCTTCAGGGACATTGACAAGTATGAGGGAAAGAAGGAGGGAAAGAAAAGAAAATGAAAAGAATTTGATAAAGGAAGAGAAGATGAAACAAACAACAGAAGAGAGATGAAAGAAGGAAGGAGAGGCAGTTAACTTGGGAGATGGGGAGAGTAAATTCGAACATTGCTGGCTAATTGGGAGTTAAATTTGTAGTGGAAGTTTTGACCTCTTCCTATTACCTCCCAAAAACCCATGGTCTGTTTTTATTGTATGAATGGAAAGATTGAAATATGAGGTTAAAAATTACCAAAATAGTCAACATATGCAGGTGCATTCTAGAACTATCAAGGACTCTGACATTGCAGTTGGAGGTTGGAAGAATCACTGCATTCCCTCAAGGACTCTCCTGGTTCTAGAGACTTCTAACCAGGATTGGACAGGGAGAACATACCCCAAAGTTGATGGGGGCTTCCTCAGGGAGAAATGACCCAGGCTCTGTTGCCTGTCTGGAAGCCTGCAAGATTCAGTGGAAGATGAGACATTTTAAATCACCCTCCATGGAGATCTGGCCTCACCACATACCAGTTAGTGAGCCTGAGAACAAATTTTTTCATCCATGGTATGGGGATAGGAGTGCTGCCATTGTCTAGTACATGTTGTAAACTAGCAGGTCATAGGCAATTTTAGGTGCTCTCCCTGCCCTGCCACCACTCTGCCTACAACGGCCCCATGCTGCTTCTGAACTGCACATGGCCATACCTGACAATGAAAGCAAAGGTGGAAAATGGGTGTTAAAAACTAATCATACTCCAGCTTACCCATTCAAAGCTTTATTTTCTTTTTCATTGTGCTTTGTGAAGCAATGTAAGTTTTCCAAAGAAAAGAATCACTTTAGGACTGGGAAGGGGGAATTGAACCAAAAGGCACCTGGTGGCCTTAGGAAGAGGGTAGGTTTCCATTGTGGGAGAGAGAGGCTCTGGGACCTGGGCTTCTGTCACTCTTAAGAGGAAGCCAGATGGAGGAAGTGGATAAATAGCTCCAGATATCACCCAGGACCACACCCCTGCCATGGGCACATCACTGAGTCTTTGTCTTTAGAGTCCCCTTGTGCTGCTGTGCTAGTGAACTGATCCACTCCCCAGTTTTCTGCTTGGCTTCCTCCCAGCTGAAGAGAGGCTCATACCCCAGGTCTCCTTGAGCTTTCTTACAGGTGACAGTGAACACACTATTTGACAGTGTCAGTAAGTGGCGGTCAAAGGGGGGATGATAATTGTAAATTGGCCTCAGCAGGAAGCTCACCATTTCCAGCAGGAAAGCAAGCCAGTACATTAGAGACAAAGGGACGCTTGGGCTAGAATCAAGAGAGAGGCCACATTCTTTGCTCAGGTTGTAATGAAGGTTATCATAACTTTGGTGAGGTGTGTCATCTGAGACATAATAGAACTGTCCTTGAATGTTTGGGGCCTTGTTGGGGTCTCTGAGGGCCCTGGAGGCCAAAATGTGGGCCCAGGCCACATTGCCAACATAGACTGGGTTGGCTATAGAGAATTTGCCTGTACTTTTCAGGACCCCATTGTTTTTGAGGGCCATATTCATCACAGAAGATAAGAATGGGCTTCCTTCCCCATAGATGTACGTGGGCCTCAAGGCACAAGTGTGCATGGTGCCACCATTTCTCAGCATGCATCCATTAGCTTTCAGCACAGCCTTCTCAGCCAGCTTTTTGCTGGCTGGGTATGGAGCAGACCATGTGCTTTCATGATGCTCTTCCTCTCGGGCATTCTGGACGATCTCCCTGTAGGAGTTGGGCCCAGCTACATCGACTGAACTTGTGTAGATGAAGATTGGCACACTCGCTTGCACACAGGCCTCCAACAGGAGCTGGGTACCTGCAAGTGGGGAACACAGGGTCAGCATCAGAAAATAACCCAAAGGGCCCACTATGGCTCAGCTCAGGTTCATGTTCATATTCACCTCCTCCCCTGAGGTGATTATTATAGATCTGCCAGGCTAGAGTTAGGGAAAGATACAAACAGAAAAGAAGCTAATATTTATGTTGTGGTGAGGCAGTATTTCCAGGCTTTTGTGTTATATCTGTGCTTTGGGTATGTGTGTGTGTATTTTGATTTTTGTAAAGGGCATAAGGATGCTGCTATATATTTTATCATGTAGATAGACATATGATTATCATGTGTCTTGAGATGCAGCTCAGTGTTGGGGCCTGTACCTAGCATTCCCTAGCCCTAGGTTTGGATCCCCAGTATAAATATGAAGAAGAAAATAAATAAGCAGAAATAAACACTAAAAATAATTACCATGGGTCATTCACATTATTTATGAGTCATTTTATGTTCTAAAATTCAGGGAGAAACCAGCCAATTTAGAATTTATACCATATATGCTCATTGTTTATCAGCAGTGTACAATCATAAATAGAAAATTTTATATGTGCGTATTGTTTTGGGATTAATAAAATCTTTTACACAAGAACAATCTGAGTCTGAGCTAATAGCTATTGAAGTTGGGGGAGATGTGGAGACCCAGCGTCTTTCTTGATTGTGTTCCCTGTGAAGGCCACCACTCGTTCTTTTTATCATTTTGTTTGCACGCATTATGAACAGTAGAGGTGACAAAGATTCCCTTCATTTGGCATTCTGGGATCTAGCTGTGGCACTTTTTGTGTTGATCCTGGCGGAGAACTGAAAGCAAGAGGGCACTGTTGGTGGGAATGTATACGATGGTGGAAAGTTTTAAAATGTATTGCAGTGAGTCCTCTTGGCCTTGTGAGTGACTCAGCAACTTCACTTGAAGAAGGGAGGGGGGAATGACCTCCCTCCCTCCCTAGGCCCCTCCCTCCCTAGGCCCCTCCCTCTATTTCTTCTTTGCTTCCCTCCCTCCCTCCCTCTCTCTCTTCCTTCCTTCCTTCCTTCCTTCCTCACCTCATTTAAAGTATTTGTGCATTTGATTTTCTTGACAGTGACCATATACTCTGAAAAAAAATGAGAGTTGTAGTGCAAAACTGTATGAGTTTAGTTTAAAGAAGAGGGAAATCGAACCGTCATTGTGAAGCATTTGGTAACCTGGGAAATGTTTTAGTAAATGAATACCTGCAACACTGCCTCATTCATTTCCCATCCCCTGTTTTTATGAGGTGGGGAAGGCAGGTGTCATGAGACAGGGTCCTGAAATGAAAATCTGATTACTTACAGCAGCTTCCTGTAATGTGGGTACATAAGGGTTTGGTGGGGTAAAAAGGAGAAAATGTCATTTTTACATGGTATTGGAAAATGAAAATTAATTGGTTTGCTTTGCAAGGGAATCTCTGAGTCCTAAATTTGGAATCAAGGCTGTCCTGACAGATGGGTCAGGAATGGTGTTGATGGAAAAGAGTGGCCCTCTGGGTTCAGAGTGACAGTGGTGCCCAGCAAGTTTCCCTGAGCTAATGTGTTTCAGTTTCAAGCCAGTTGGAAAGCTGCAATTCAGAAAAATCCACCAAGCATTTAGAGAAGGGAATCTAAGGAGGAATTTTTTTAGGCATCTGACCAGAACCTACTCCTTGTTCAGACATAGTAGTGCACTGAATGGGTAATATCATGGATAATGGGTTAGGATTCTGGCATAGGAGAATACAGTCAAAAGGCGCATGCTGTACAATTCTGTTCTAAAAGACTTCCATGAACCAGCTGTGCAAGTTCTATAGAGAGGAAGCCTTCTTTAAAGTGGGCAGGAGGCCCTTGAGATTCTTATCAGACTTCATGCAAGTTTGAAATGTGTAGCTGAGAGGCCTCGGCAGAGTTTGGGTTTGGTTTCACTCAGGGGAGGCCTTGTGTAGATGGACATCAAGAGTGTAGAGTCAGAGGAGAGCTGACCCTCTAATGGAGTAACTGAAAGAAGACTACTCATGCTTTGAGGGGTCCAGTGTGAGTGCTTCTAAAGTATTGCTTTCCTCCTGACTAGGGGGGGCCCCGACCAACTTCATTGCCTTTTGGAGCCCCAGTTTCCTCATCTAAAACAGCCGAGAACAACAGCTCTGAGCTCTGATAGCTGAGAGTGGTGAGCAAAGGCTGTTGGCTCAGGGCCCAGCAGGTATTCCACAGTGGGATTTTTGTTCCCCTCCTCATCTCTTCTGCCATTCCTGTTTTTCCCACCTGCTGCATGTCACCCACAGGCTGCTCTACCTCTCAGGTTGATGTCCATGATGGTCTCTCTAGGAGCGATACCAGATACATCGATGATAGCAGCGACATGGATGACCACTGAGAGGCCCTGGCAGGCTGCCCTCAGGTACTGAGCATCCTGAATGTCTCCTTCAAGCAATGTCAGCTTGGTCTTTGTCTGCAGCTCTGTGGAAACACAAAATAGTTCATTCTGAAGGTTTTTGGATGGGCTTGCAATTTTACTGATAAAGTGACAGTATATGGATTTTCAAGAATAGTCATAGCAGGGGGATATCAGGGATGGAGCACATTCCGTAGAGAACAAAGTAGTGAAGGCACAGGAATCACAGTGTATAGCATTTATTGGCAAAGAAGAAGCAACTTTTGGTACCCACTATGTTGCAGAACATCAATCTGAGTAGTAAACTCTGTGAGTCTCTGGAACAAAGATCATTGTTAATGAGTCATGGGAAGTTCATCAGACTCATCAAGGAGAGTGCGGAAATTGTAGAGTTGGATAAAGATGAGAACTTCAAATTTAACTGTGTAGGCAGTGAGGACTCATGTAGCGATTTGGAATTGTAGGAGGAACAGTGGCAGGCCTGTGAATAGGATACTCACCTGGGCCTCAGGATGTCAAATGCACTGTTGTGGGGATGTAAGAGAAAGCAGGACAGCAATGCACTAATCAGAATGTTTCTGCCAGAGTTCTGATGAGGAGAAACAGGGCCCATCAATAGGAGCAGAGAGTGGGAAGACCCACAGGTGGTAAGTTTCATTCCTTCCTATGACAGGTCTGGGCCTTCCTGGGTCTGGGCTGAGGGAAAAATCAGTTAAACTCAGAGCTTGTTTCCTATTTGGGTGACTAGGAGGACATTGGAGCCACTAACAGAGAATTCAGGGTGGGCTCTGGATGGACTAAATTGAAAATGTCTTACTGTGTGTCAGATATTATCAGTAGCGGACATCAGTGATGCCAAAGAAGCAACTACAAGTGATTTCCATCCCAGCTCTCAGGCCCAGGACACTGGTTACAACATGAATGTGTGCATATCTCAAGGGAGACACACAGGAATGACAGGATGACACTGCCAGTGACAGGGCCAACTCAATTTAGCCCTGAAAATCCACTATGCCACATGCAGACTCCAACACTCTGCACCTCTCTGTGCAAACAAATTCACAGCTGACTCACTTCCTTTCCTAGAGACCTTAGCAGACAGGAATTCTGATTCTCCTTTCCCCTGTGTAGGTGAGGAAACTGAGTCTCAGAGGGGTTCAGGGACAGATCTGAGCACACATTGCTAATGAGCACTGAACCCCACCCCTGCCTCCATGGCTTACTGTGTTTGCCCTGCATTACAAGAGCAGGACAAAGTGTTTGGAATTAACTTTTCTGAGCCTGAGTAAAGGTACAGGAACTAACTGATAGTTGCAATGAGGGTTGGAAAAGAGGGAGAGTAACAATCAGAGGGCTGGAGAAAGCCTTTGCTGTGCTGCAAGAACCACAGCCAGGAATCCTGTGCTGAATTGTTTGCTCCCAACCCTTGGCCTTGTCAGGCAGCCCAAAGAAGTCCCTGCAGCGCAGGATAGTGGAGAAGGGCTGCTGCAGGGAGATGGGTGTCTGCCTGAGCATGGCATCTTCCTTTGTTATGTCCCTTCTCTGCCCCCTGCTCCTTTCCTCCTGTCTCTATTGCTTCTGACTTCAGAGAACCTGGCTCACAGGAGTGCTGTGAGAGGTAGGAGGAGCCCAGACCCAGAGAGAAATGGGCTCTCACCCTATCAGTACTCACAGACCCTGACAGTCCACGAGAGGGCACTGTGGGTTCTTCATGGCTTAGTCGCTGTTTCTTCCTTTCCAAGTCACGTGGTTCTGGCCAGTGTTTTGCACAGACATAATATGCAGTCACTTCTATGTGTTTAGGTGGGTTACAGGAAAGCCCAGACCCATTAAAATCACAGATACCACTGCTAGACATCCTGGACCCCCGCTCTTCTTGACCTTGCTCTATGTGTTGTTTAAGTTGGGCAAGATAATTAACCTCTCTGTGCCTGTCTTCTTCTGAATAATCAGTTTAGCAATGTTTCCTATCTCCTGCACATGTCTTCTGGTGATGATTAGTTGACACTGCAAACACTGTACCATCTCTAGCACAGATAGAACACTGTAAGGATCCTTCAGCCTTACCTTTCTGCAGGTCCTCCCCATCTCGCACTCCTCCTGAATTGTCACCACTGGGAGATGTTCCTCTAAGCTGAGCACTGCCTTTTCCTACCACCAAGAGTTAAATCGTAAATATTGCAGAGGTATAACATTTACAAACTGTTCTGTCCATATTTTAATATTTGACATTGAACAGTCGGGGGGAGAGGTGACAGTGGAAAAGGTCAGAGAAGAGGAGAGGTACGGGTAGGTGTGCTCTTAGAGTTCCCTGGAGGGGCTTCTGTGTGCATTTCAGAGTGATCTGGGCAGCCGAGGGCCACAGGTAGATGCCTAATACCCTAGATGACCAGGATGGGGAACAGAGGTAGTCAGTAGGTTTAAGGGACAGAGGGGGACAATGAAAAAGACTAAAACCTCACTGTGCCAAGTGTCAACCCCAGACCCCAGTGATGTGGCCTCAGGGATGGGATGTAGCCAGGCTTCTAAGATCAATTATTCCCATGACCTGGGATTGGTCTCCTCTCCTTTGTTGCCCAGATGGGTGTGCCCTCTTTCCTACCTTCAACACAGGGTTGTTTGAAAGATCTGAGGCAAAGCAGCTGGGAAAATGCAATATCCATCCGGCCATTTTATTTGCAGCAGGGGCAGCAATTTGCAAAAACAACAAAGGACAATCCCAGCAACTCTGCTTCACTCTCTCTGTGGGAATGAAGATGAAGAGCTGAAAGGCATAGTAAGGAGAATATTCGAGGCTTCCCTGGAGGGCATGTTGGTCATGCTGCTTCTCACCTGTCTGTAATATTATGACTGTACAGGTACTGATGAATGTAGCTCCTGTCTCTCTCTCTCTCTGTCTTTATCTGTCTCTCTCTCTCTCTCACTGTGTGTCTCTCCCTGCCCCCTTTCATATATACACAAGAGCAGCTTTAGTTGCAGTTCCTTTTATTTTACCTTCACCTAAAATGCTAAGTATTTGTACCCAGAAAGAAAACAATGACAGCCAGGGCAACCAAGTGAGTCAAGGACTCATTGCTGAGGGCCCTGGCTTAATAATCCTTGGCAGATGTTACATGACATTTGTCAAGTTCAGAAAAATTGAGCACATTAAGGAGCTGCAGTTGAAGGATAGAAGTGATGTGTGATTTCTAGATGGGAAGTAGAGAGGCCCAGGGATCCAGTGGCTGCCTATGGCCACCCCGAGTAGTATGGGTGAGGCTTAGGCTGGAGATATACAGTGTGGGACACATGCTGGTGTTAGATTCACAAAAGATAGGATACCCCTGGCTCTTGGAGATCAAAGGAGTATGCTGTCTCACCGTATTTTTAATCATCTTGGCATAAGTCTGAGAAATATGTTTCTACCCTCACCATATTTTCTTAGCATCTTGACATGAGCCTCCAAAATATGTCCATGCCCTTTTTTGACCTTTAGCATGAGCCCAAGGAACATGTACCCTATTTCAGAGTAAGCAAGGGTAAGCCCGAGGCTATTATGATATCATTAGCATTGCAATTTTGACCCCATGATGGGTTTTGGTAGCCACTGTGATTTTGTACAATCCCATATAAACAAAAGAACCATTTCAATTCATTGGATAGAGTTCCCCCTTAGGTGGCACCCCAGGCCCCAAGGCCTGGGAAAGTTTCCAGTTTGCAGCTTAAAACCTAAAGCAGAGAAGGCTGTTGTGGGTCAAACTTGTCATGAGTTTTCTTATTGTCCTACTCTCACTCTGGGGAATGTACTTTCCCTTCATAAATCTCTGTCTTTCTTTCTGCCTCTGTGTGCCCTGCTCAGTTCTTGATTTGGGATACAAAGAGCTCGTATGTTGGATGAGATTAGAACAACTCTGCAGTAACAAGGCCAAAAACCAGTGTTCTCACAGCTGTGCAAGATTGTTTTTATGCTGTGCATCCTGGATTCTTCCTGATGAGTGTGGACATGGGAGGTGCCTTATGTCTCCAAGTTTCCTTTACTTGTTTCAGAAAGCAGCTCCTCCCACACTTGTTTTGGCTTAAAATGGAGTGCTACCATCAAGCCTCCAATTCACTTACTAGAGAATTCCTCCCTGGTTTCTGGTCTGAAGATCCTGTCCAGGGCCCTGACCTCCTGAAGCTCCTTCTCCTGCACCAACAAGCGGATAATCCTCTGGCCCAGAAAGCCTCCTGCTCCTGTCACCAGGCAGCTCCACCCAGCCATTGCCAAAGCAGGAAGCAGAGCAGACTGAGGAGCTGGTGTGGTGACTGGGTGACTCTGTAGAGGGTTAAAGAAAAAAAAAATCCAGTAGGTACAGGGCACACAAACTGTAATGACACAGAGGGCAAAATTATTCAATTTGTCTCCTCTATTCTCACACATGGGTTTCATTTGCATCTGTGACCACACGTGTGCAGAGTCAGGATCTAACACTGTCAGATCCCACAGTTTAAGGACTCAATCCTCAAAAGCTCCAGTCACTTTAGATGTCCATTATAAACCCAAGTTATTTGAGCTGTTCTTCTGAAAAAACAGCTGTAATTCTCAATTTCCAGAATACCTCACTGGGTTCAATTAAACTGAATGAGTCAGAGAACCACAGAAATATTCACTTACCTACTATGTTGGTTTGTAAAGGAGGTTACAAAGGATACAAATAGAAAGATGCCAAATGTGGAAGAAGTAGAGGCAAGCTTCAGTGCTCTTGCTGTCTGCCGTACTCACTGGGAATATCCAGGCATTTAGCTCTCTGGAAGCTCTCAGAGACTCATCCTTTGAGGTTTTATGGAGTCATTGTATACACATAACCACAGCATGAACAAATATGCAAGATAAGATTGGGTATGAGGATGACCAAGTGATAACAAACCGAGTCAGAATCCAATAAGACCTGTGTATTTAGGTTCCTCTGCATTCCTTCCTTGAGGATATGGGGCAGGACCACCCTGGAATGAAGATCCCTGGAATGTAAATCATATAGAAAGCCAAATCCTGGTCTCCAAGCAGAGATCCTTCTTCTTCAAGGAATAGAAAACTCTGAAGAATTACCACATTACTCAAATATCATTCAATCATGAATAATATGACCAGTACATCATTTTATATGATGGTGTCTTCCATAGTAAACCTCTTCAGTTTGCAAACTCACATTCCAAAAAGCAGGACGTTCAACAGATAGTTGACCCTCTCATTCATCTGGAATTATTAAGGTAAGAGACAATATTGCTTTGAGCTTTGCCAGTTTTAAATGTAGTATTAGTTTTCCATAAATTTATAACATATTTACTTCTTTCTTTGGCCCCAGGTACTCCTCCTCCTCCTCTTCTCCCTCCTCCTCCTCCTCCAATACATTAATATGCTAACTTTTCACTTTTGAAGTGGCTTTAGCTTTGGATATGGCACTTGTCTAACACGTGATAAGACTATCACATCAGGTAGTGGGTGAAATATAACAGAATTTGCAGTGATGTGAACATATTTACACAATGAAATCCTCATCCATCTCTAATGACCTTTCCTCCAGATCACCAGGTAAACAAGAGGGGATCAAGGGGCGACATTCCTTCAGACTTCCTCATGCTGAGTGGGAACACACATTCCTGAAAGTATGTTTGACTGCCCTTTAGGTCTTTACCAGCCCATCCCCAAAGACAATCAGTGTTTCAATGGCTCATTTTACTTTTCCAGAATCCTATACTTTGGTTCAGGGTATCTCTCTGCCAACTGCTGGACATTATGTTCTACAATGTGTTACTTGGTCCATAGAAATGACATATGCCTGTTTAAATCTGTGCATTAGCTTCTGTTGTGACTCGTTTTTAGCTCTCTGTGTATTTTCCTCTTGTACTAGATAAGCACATCCAGTACAGAGTCAGTGTCTAGTGCTATCAAGACCTGTTTGCAGCACCTAGGATAACTGGCAGTCTCATGTTCTGAAAATTTTAGGGCCTGCCCGCCAGGAGATCTGCCATTTAGCCATCTTTTGGTTAGCAGACAGAACAGCTCTCACTCGCATTATGTGCCAGAAGGAGTGGGAGCAGACCACATCCAGATTCAGCACCAGCACCATATTGCTGCCGTACCCTCAGGCCAACTCATTTTGTGCGTCAGGTGACCACCTAAAGTGAGCGTACAGGGACATCACTTTTTCAATTCCAGTCACTTGAAGCCTGGAAGTTGTTTTGTTGTTGTTGTTTTGTTTTTTTCTGATGGACACCATGTCTTACTTGAAAGCATCCCTGAATTGTCCACACAACTGTGCCCCATGGATGTCCCTTACATGCTCCAGGTTTCCATTTTCTGCCTGATCATGGAACCAGGTCATTGGATACTACCTATGTGCCAGGAAGACCCCAGAAATGAGATTTTTATCATTGTTCAAGTTTTCATCATGCAATTCAGCCCCAAAGCTCATTTGTTACTGTCTTTGGTCCAATTAGCATCTGTCTAAGTAAGCTGTCCCTTTACCCTGCAACTGCCACCCACAAGACAAGCAGCTATTGTGGATCAGATGAAACCTGTTAGATGTTCCAAATGTCCCCAGAGCCCAGAAAGTTTTTCCACAGTTCTAGTCCTAGGAGAAAAGAGTCTACCTGCTCATAAGAATATCTTTCCTGTGTTTTCCAGGGAAATGTCTTGGACGAAAGTCAGGCAGAATAGTCAATATAAAGTTTGACAAAAGGGCTGAGGTCTCTTGGCTCAAATTCTTGCTGGGGACTCAAAGCCTTCTGCACAGAGGGGATGAAATAGTCTGGGGAAAAGGAGAACATTTTCTGGAACTACAACATAAAAATGTAAAGGTGAAAAATATTATGAATATTGAAATGTTGAATATTGAGGTGTTCTTTATGAAAAGAAGCTGTGTCACCTTTGTCTAAATATTTGATGAGAAGGCATACTATGTCTAACTTAGGAACCCTCTCCTGAAAAGGACTGTAAAACCAAAATGTGTTGAGGAAGTCCTAGAAGAAAAAATTCAAAAGGCAAGGGTAGATAGAATAAAGTTACAAGTTTACAGGAGAATTGTTATTTTTCAACAAGCTTCATATGAAGTTCTTGACTCTTTTATCTGCTGCTATCATAGTGATAAACATTGTATTGCACTGGGGAATTGTTCCCCTAAATAGTACTGCAAAACAGAGGGACATAAATACAATCTTTGAGAAATATTAATTGGACCTACTAAATGGGAACCAGTAAGATTAGCTAAGCTTATAAAATGTAAACCCCAAAGTCCCTGCAGGGACAAGTTCTCGGTGCAACATGACCTATATGGGACATTAATTGAGGTTTATGGCAAAAGAAGGTGACTGTGTCCAGCCATAATCACTCACTTTGGAATAGAGAAATTTGACATTAGTCAAAAGTTACAAAAGTTAGAGCAAAGTACCAAAGCTTCCTACCCCACACTTTTATATATTGCCATCAAGGTTTTCAGTAACTGAGAGGAGGGCTTACGGATCAGGAAGGTTATACTAGCGGCCAAGAAAGACAAACTTCCAATATATGGCTGCTGCCGTAGTGCAAGCCCTTCCTGCCAGTGGAACACTAGGACGACATAAAACAATTGACAGTGAGTCTCACCTTCTACCTTTCTCCCACCTGCGGACAGATGGGACATTTGAACAAACAGTACCCCAAGCCAAAAGGATATAAACCCCCATATCCCCACTCAAATGGGAGGGCAGTGACAGTCCTTTCCATTGAGAGGGATGAACATCCACTTTGCAAAGCTCTAACCCACAGTCAGGACTTACTCTCTGGTTTCTTCTATTTGAGCAATATGACCATCTAGAATGATGAGGTCCAATGTGTCTTCAAGTCCCACTCTTTCCAAAATTCATAAGGAGCCTAGGGTTAAGATGATGTAGCAGGGGACAGATAACATTCTTAGATGATACAGGGACTATGTCTTCTCCTTTGACTCCCTTCTTGGGCTGAGTCTTACAGGTTCTTCCTTGAGCTTCCTTAAGGGCGTTGTTGGCGAGCCAACTAGATGCTCTATTACCCTACTTGGTGAGAGGACATTGTAGAGATCTATGGTCAAATTGTATGCCATCTTCGATCTCCACCCTACACACTTTCTAGTTATTTAGGGCCCTCTCCTATTCACCCTCAGGCCTCTCCACACATAGCCTCCTACATTGGGGTCTCCGTTTTTTGAGAATGCTGAGACATCTCCTTTCTGGGGTGGTTAAAGTGGGCCTAGCCTGTTAAAATTAACCTCAAGGATCCACCTTCTTTTTCCAAAACCTGAAGCTGTCAACTGACTCAGCCCCATTATTGATAAATTCCTTGGGCTCAGACTGTTGGTACACCTGTCACTTTCCTTGCAATACTCCCATTATCGCAGTGAAAAGGGTTGTTGTTTCCTACATATAGTACAAGATCTAAAGGCCATTAATTAGGCAGTGGTTCCTATTTATCCCATAATCCTTAATCCTTATACAGTTTCTTTAAGTTACTTTTTTCATTATTGAGACAAATTCCCAACACCCAAAGTTGAAGGAGGAAATGTTTACTTGGTTCACAGTTTGTAGAGGTTTCAGTTTATAGTTGGCTGGCTCTAAGGCAGAGTGCCACGGCAAAGAGGAATTTCAGGGGAGAAACAGTTCATGGCAGGCAGAAGTCAGCAAGGCAGCAAAGAGCAAGGAGAAGCAACAAACAAGGACATGAGCTGTCTTTCTCTCCTTTATATTTTCTGCAGGCTATCCACCCTTAAGGTGTGTAGCACTCACACCCACTGTGAGGCAGGCTTAATCTTACCCAGACCTAAGGCAAACCAACCAGTGAACTAATTTAATAATTACTCATCCTTGATCCCATCATCACACACTCCAGATTCAGCCACCTCTGAAAAGTCCCACCTATGACTGCATGAGGCTTTGGGAGGACATCTAGATACAAGCTATGACACAGTTCTTGAACGTGTGTCTCTGAAGGCCTTGTGGTTCACAGTGCTGGATTTCAAGGATGCCTTCTTTTGCACTTCCTTTTACCCTAATTGCTCTTCACTTTAAAATGGCAGTCCTTGACACCCAGATCACCTAACAAATCACCTGGACAGTATTGTTTCAAGGCTCTGACCTTTTTGATAAGATATTTGCCAAGAATCCAGCCTCCTTCATCCTATCCCCTGGGAGAGGCCACCTCCAATATTTAGATGACCTTCTGACCTTTTACTGTGATGAAATTGCACTGAACCAAAACATTATTAGAGGTTTTTTTGGCCAAAAATG